AGCGGGCCGCATTAACGGCCTACCGTGCGAGCGGCCAGCCTAAATCTATGGACGAGGTCTTCCTCCGTGCGAGCGGGCCGCAATGAGTGTGCATGCTACTAGAGTTAACTCATGTTTTCCATATTTGCCCGTGGAGCGTGGATCTTCCTCATTACGTGAATTTTTCAAGATGAACATTCATGAAATGCGTCATCTTTGCTCCTCACTGGGGCATTCTAGAACAAAGTTCTGTCTATGAATATTCTGGGTAGGGAGGAAATATGTGTTGCAAAAGAAGAAAACATCTGAATTGGTTATGGAGCAGGTTGTCCAGCATAGAAATTCGTCCTTGCCTCAAATTTTTTCTCAAAGATTCGGTATTTACGCCACAACATTCTGATCAGTACCACAAGATTTTGAAATCAAGGATTTTCATTGTCTCATAACAGCGTAATAGAGTTCTCATAAAAATTCTCAACAAGAATATGATACATGCTATTCAAAAACAACAAGGATACACAAAAGTGCTAGCTCAAGCCGAATGAATATGAAAATCGCAGTGATGACAGCTAGTAGATGACTGAGTGAGCTAGACACGTGTCAATATAAAGCTATGTCAATGATAAACAATAATTGCGGATTTTCGCATATTAATTGCAACAGAATCTAGAGATGTAAAGACCACAGGAAAAAAAGGATTGATGCCAAAAGATAATATATTAAAATTGCGATTAACTTCAGAAATTGGACACAAGAACGTATGAGAGAATAAGCACTAATTCTGTTAACCACGAGCATCTTACTTTCCTAATCGAATGTCCCTTTTGTTGAATGCTCCAAGGCATTCTGCGAATGCGAATCGACTACTCGGCAAGGATCGCACAGGCACGATTTCACTTACTCGTAGACACCAAGGAGGATAGCCAGAAACTGAAGGTATATTGCCGACCTAAAATAAGGAACAGAATTTCCATGACACCAATCTCTTGCTTTAGCCAATGGCTCCCAATTTTCGTTTTGGAAGATGAATGGTTCAATATAAATTGTAGCAGTCACTTCCCAATGAATGTGTCAAGCCTCGTATTACCTGTATGAGAAGATCTGGCTCAGAGAGCGCGTAATTTTTGGTCAAATGCGAGCTGACACAATCTGTTGTGATTGCCTTGTTCGACGATGACATCTAAAGACAAACCCTTATCGTTGGGCAAATATGACTATATAATCATGACTACAACTTTAAAGTGAATCAGATAAGAATACGAACCTCTCGGCATGACTTTACAAGTATGGAACGTCCACAATCAGCAGAAAGTAATTGTAGAACGAGTCGATACGATGTAAAATCGACCCTAGCGTTTGCGTGGCAGCCCACTATGATCTTGATATGCTAAAGCAAAAATCACATAAGATGACAGTGATGAATGTAATAGGTGAAGATGGTGATATAAGCTATAGGATTACTTCCATCACACATACTTTTAATTTACAAAATCCTTTAATCTCTTCTGCAAGGTAAGCATACGAATTTATCGCATCATATATAGTCATTCGCCGGATATTTTCAATCAAAGCAGTCTCTAGAAGAGAAACCAACATTTCCTGTAAATATCGTTAACGAAGAAAGCAATTTAATAAATTAAAAATATGTACCTTTTTTATAACCCCTTCATTATTGATTATAGCAACATGAGCAGGGATTTTACAACGGTTACTGCTCTGAAAGCACATTTTGACACTAACACTAAATTTTAATTAATAAAGCTAACATATCGTTCTCCTCGTTGTTTTATCTCGCGATGAGCCCATAGCGTCGAATATCCAAGGAAATTGCATGCAAGCAATACCAGCCAATATACACAACGGATCGCAAATGCACAAAACCACGCTACGTCAATCATTCCTGTAGCTCCAACTTGCCGAAGGGCTCAATGTTCTACAACAAGGTAGTGAAACGTGGGACGTAAAGATAGTTGTGTTATGAATCTATAACAATAGGATTGAATGAGAGACAGGCTGCCAAAATAGTAACTTTGTACCTGCTCGTGGACTTTTATCCCCTGGCGCCGAACTGCTAAACAAAAAACAGAGACCCTCAAAGTCCAATACGTGAGATCTCGGCCACAGAGCGGCAGACGCGCACTGCGCTCATCGCGCTGAAACGGGAATTTAAAAAGAAACAAAGTCCCCGAAGTACACATATGGATTGCTGCACAATGATAGTTAAAGTGCACTACGTGTAGTCGCTTTTTAACTGAACTGATGGGAAAATTATGACGCATTACGATTGGATAATTTGCTACGGATTTATTCGGGCTTTTTCGTGCACTCTTGATTATTCTATTTGGGTGTTGGAGCAGGAGCAATTGAACATCTTCAAGTGAATCCCACTTATGAGCGCATTATTGAACCCGGTAGGGCTGAAAGGCACACCCGGCGTGCCGGGACGCACGGTTTCCGAGATTATGAGATTTGACATCGGGCGCTAAGACTACTTCATGGCTAACCGAATTTTGATAGTTCGGGGGTAGAAGTTGTGCATCGTAATTAGACAAAAGGTAAACTTATTTTGCTCATGTTTTCACAAATGCAGGTGAAATGCTCCTCGCGGTATCATCCTCAATTGATAACTGCGGCTGATATTCTACAGGGTAGCTATAAATGCTTCTTCCAGCATGATTTCAACATGGGATACTTTTGAACAACCGTCTTGTAATGTGTAGGAAAAGCGGCTGCATGCTGAAACCATCGTAACCTCTCACGGCAGCTGCGGACAATAAATCATCAAGGAGGAAGTATGCTTTAGGATCACAAATTCGCTAGACCACTGGTCAATCAACTCCTCGCTCGGCTCGGGATGTGAGCCCATACCTCTCACATTAACCTTACATATGATTTTAGTTGCTTCTTGTAATAAATATAATCCTCCTTTGTTCTGTCTTGTATTCTGCTGGCCATAGGATCGTGACATTCAAAGGGAGGCTTCTATAGTTAAGTTGGGTGAAACAGAAGCCACAGTCATCTCTTCCTTATCATCTCAGCACAAGTTAATATTACTACTTCCTTGCCAAATTATCGTTACAAGATGTTGCTGAAGGGGAAGAAACGTCTCTAGGAAGGGTGAAAGCGCCAAACATATTTGTTGATAGGGAATGAATCTAAAAGAAAAACTTAATTTTCACTCTGAATGTTCAACGATGGAATGATGCAAGAAGATGCTTTATCAGCAGCTCCACTTAGGATCACATAGAACAAACCGAGAACACTATGCACTTTCCCTAGTTTTCTATGTAGACCTTGCTGCTACTGGCAAGGTACTTATGACTAATAGATCTCTAAAAATGCCGTTTATGTGATTTCACTGCAAGTATAGGGAAAACCAAAGTGTTATAATTCGGCGTTGACGTACAGCCACTGATCACTGAGAATCAGAATATGTCAGGTACAATGTTTCTTTAGAAGAACCAATTTTGTGCCCGATGATATACTATGGGTAAATGGTGGAGCGCCTCGTTGCAGGCATTCCTTCCGGTTGGCGTTGCAGACAAGTACAACGCAGTGCGCCTACTACGCCTGAGAGGCCAGACCTATGTGCTTCTAAGCAAAACACTGCAGAACTGCAACCCATAATAAACAGAGAGGTCATTAAAAAGAGGAATCGATCTCAGCCACGGTGGATCCTGATCAAACGCGTTACGCGGGTCGTGTCAGCCGAACGCATACTGATCAAACCTTGAACGAAAACCGGGTAATACATGGAACGAAATTGAAAATCGAAATGATCTGGATTTGACCACTTATTTGCATTCGCAGGTGTTTTCTTACCCTTTTTAAGAGAAACCAACAATTAGGCTGGCGTCTTTCTAAAGGACATAGGTCCTGCATTACCTGTTGAGAAGGTGTTGTTGGCGCCATCTAAGGGTATCTCCATGCTTCATAAGGATCGGCCGATAACACTTGCAAGTGCAATGAATCGGCCGATCGAGGGCGCGCAGCGGTTGCTGCGCCGCAGTCAAACACCATTTTGCCTGAGGTTCCGTACTCATCTTTCCGGCAGATTCGCTGGACCTCTGAGAACTCTAACACAACCTGAAGAAAGGAAGCGAGTCAAAGTCGGAGGAAAAAGGTCGGAAGGCTTGAGACAGAGCCGAATTGCGCCACATCGACACTCATCAGGAAGCCGCAACGCATCCGCCGCGCACCATCGATCTTAGGGTATCTCCATACTTCATAAGGATCGGCCGATCTAAATTGGCCGACCCTTATAACGCTTATAAGCGCAATAAGAATCGGCCGATTGAGGGTGCGCGGCGGTTGCATTGCGGCTCTTTGTTGAGTACCGATTTGGCGCGACTCGCCTCTTTCCAACCCTTTCCTCACTTTTCTTCCGATATAACTCGCTTTCTTTATTCAGAGTTGTCAGAACTCCTCAGCAATTGTGCCGCAAAATGAGGATGGAACCCCTGGCAAAATAGTATTTCACTGCGGCGCAGCAACGCAACC